CAGGCCACAAATTTTATCTCCCCAGTGCAGGTGGGGAACTGAGGTACAGAGATGAATTGATTTGCTAAGGTAATACAGGAAGGCTGTAGCAAAGCAAAGATTAGAAGCCAGTTCTTCTTCACACCTTCCCAGCCCTTTAGCTGCAAGACCCTTCTCTGCTTAAAAGCAGATTAAGATCGCTATTGGAAGAAGCATATCTCACGCTAAACAGACCAGTAGCAAGACTCATGACGGTTAACTCTATGCTAGGACTGATGATCAGTAAATTCACAATGAGATGCTTATGATGTTCTACTGCTTTGAAGTGAGGTTTGACTTGCTTAAGTGACTTAAGCAACAGGCAACGCTTTGAGCCGGGGCAAAAGCTCTCTGTACAGCCCTACTGAAGTCAATGATTTCATGCATGTGCTTGGGCCTATCTGCACAGAACAGCTCCTGGGATCACGGCCCCTTAGAGCTTTGTGGTTATCATTGACCATGTGCTTTTTGCATCTACCTGTCCCGTTTGTTCTCTTCTCTCCATGGAGGTTTCCAGCTGAGCTTATTTCCTTATGGCAAATATGACAAGTACATGAGACTGACACTCTGGGAAGAAGCAGTTCACTCCAATAGGATGGCAGAGGCTTGGCAAAAACAATCCATCAACTTTTCTTGGTCATTATTACTCTTCTCTCCCTTTCCACCCAATTCATGGTGTTGTCTGTGGGATGCTTGGTTCTGAATGGGCCGCTCTTCATGTTGCAGTTCAGAGCGCAGCACTCGGTGCAGCCACCAGACATGATTTCATGGAAGTGCTGTCCGTATCTGGTGTCAGCCAAGTCCCTGCTCCTCAAGTCCTGCAAGGCCATTAAAAGCTTTAATTTTTCAGCAGTTTGTTGTTCGTTTGGCTGTTCTTAAGTTAGTTTCCAGCCTGCCTAGTTATGAGGAAAAAGCTGGAAATCATTAGTCTGAAAGGCCTACTTTATTAATTTGGAGTTTGGGCAAACTGGTTATTGTTTTCTTATTCAGAGGTGCTGAGAATTTCTATTCAAGTCAACGGGACTCAAAGGTTCAGCACCCATGAAAATCAGACCATTAATATGTTACAGCCGGTTGTTCTGTTGCCTCTTTTTCAGGTAAAAGATGTAAATCTCCTTGCCTAATTAAGCAATCCTCCATATTTGGACTAATAGTTATAGTTAGCATTTGCAAGCCAGGAAAGGCTGACAATATGGAACAACCTTGCAACATTCAGCTAAGTCAGCGCAGGTATATTTGTAACTCATGATCAAATAGAGTATCTTTATCTCTACAGTACAAAGGAGATTATTTGTGCTTAGGTTGGTAAATTCTACCAGGCTAAAAAATCTAGAAATCTAAACTGTCAAATGGATGATTCTAGTCTGACATAGCAATTGCACGTATACCCTCTTTGTGTGCTTTTTTTCTTCTTTGCTGCCAGAATGTTTCCTTCTGAAGAAGGGCACTTTGTGCCCCAAAGTTTACCTAACACACTTTTCCAGCTGTACAGTTGATTCAGTTATTTAAAAAAAGCACAAAACCCCCCTTGCTTCCAGAATTTAATGGAAGTAAATATGACGTTTCATATTGTTCATGGTGTTGCCTATTGTTCGTAAGAATTTCAGCAGAAGGTCCATTTTGTTCTGTAACCTCTCTCTGACATTATACGATATATGGAGGGACTACTGAACAACGAACGATGATAACATGACTACAGCCCCAATTTTGTGAACACCTCCACTTGTGCTGGGCTCCTAGCGTGGGATCCCACTGAGTTTGGTGGTATGAACAATGGATGTGATTCCAGGACTGGGATCTAAGACGGGAAGGAGATGAAAATGGGAATGGTCATTGCCTATCCTTTTGTTACCGATTGCTCATCTGCATGAAGAAGGATGGGTTTGGGTTGTACAAAGAGATGCAACTTCATCAAAGTTTGCGGTGGCAATGTTCTTTTAGGAAGTCTTTGAAAGCAGGATCCAGGGAGTAACTTTGTTAAGGTGCTGCAGAGAAAGACCCAGGGGGTTACAGTGGACCATAGACTGAGCTGAATATGACCCAACAGTGTGTTACTGTTGCAAAATCAACACCACCTTGAATGGTATTAATAGGAGTGCCATTTGCAAATCAAAGGAAGTGATTATTTTAGTCTAGGCAACACATGAAGCCTTACCTGGAGTGCTGTGTCCAGTTTCAGGCCCTATGCTTCAAGACAGATTTGGACGGATTGGAAAGAGTCCAGTGGAGAGTGATAAAAGTGATTAGAGGCCTGCAAATTGAGAGCTGTGAAGAAAGACTGAAAGAACTAGGGTTATTTAGTTGGGGAAAGAGAAGACCATAAGGGGGATTTGATTACAGTCTTCAGATACCTGCAGGGTGATTACAAAGGCTAAAAACAGATTTCTCCCAGGACAAAGCCTGTTATTCTGTGATCTTACAGAGTACATTGTCCCACTTTAAGTACTTAGTGAAGTACCCATGAGGCACCAAGATAGCTCTAATTGTCCCAGGAAAAATGTTAATTCCCATTCAAGCTGTATGCATCAAGGACTGTCCCCAACCTGTTGTGATGCCAGTCAAACCCAGGGGAAATCAGACCTGGGATAGACCTCACATCTGTTTTGAGCCAAAAACGTTTTCTCTGCAGCTGCAGAGGAGATAGGACTGCTTCAAGTTGCAGCAAAGGAGGTTTAGGTCGGATATTAGGAAAAACTCTCTCACTAGGATGGTGGTGAAGCACCGAAACAGGTTACCCAGGGAGGTGGCAGCATCTCCATCCTTGGAGGTTTTTATGATCTGGCTATACAAAGCCTTGGCTGGGATGATGGAGTTGGGGCTGGTCCTGCTTTGAGCAGGGGGTTGGACTAGATGTGACCTTCTGAGGTCCCTTCACACCTGAATTTTCTATAATCCTATTATTTTATGACCAGGAGCCAAGGCCTGGAAGGCCAGCAGAGGAAACTTCATTTGTAAACCGGCATCCCTTGGGAGAGCCTTTTGTTCCAGGGATATTAGTATAAGCCCATTGTCCCACTTTACATACCTGTGAAGTAGCTGAGATAAAATGTGCTAAAACTCCCTCTCATATCACCCCACAGGTATTCACTTACATGGCTGTAATACCTCTATAAACTAATTTTGGCTCAGTCCGTTCAAATGCTATTTGTTCCAGGGACTAATCTATCAGTGGGCTTGATTTGAATTTGAGTGTTTTATCTGGCAGCAAACCCTAAACCTTACAGATGGACAAAACCCATTGTCCCATATATTAAGTATCTGTGAATTACCTGAGCTGACACTTTGCCTTGTTGCAATCAGAGCTAATTTGAGTTAATTGCCATTTAAGCTTCATGTGTAAATGACTCTCTTTCATCTGTTATGATACCAGTCATACCCCAAACCAATCCCAGCAGCATTACACAGGTTGTGCCTCTTTAGTCTCAGAAGGGCAGCAACTAGATTGGAAGGGATGCCTGTTTAAGCGGCTATCCAGGTCCTCTTTTTTTTTTCCCCCAGGTTTTGATTGGTCAAGTCCGCTTCAAATGAAACAGCCACTTATAGCCTCTCTCACTATGGGGATGATTGGGCACTGGAACAGGCAACTTAGAGAAGTGGTAGGATTTCCATCCCTGGAAACTTTGAAAAGCTAGGATGAGTTAGTGCGGGAACGATCCTGCCATGAGCAGGAGGCTGCCCTAGATCAGCATTTTTCAGGAATATATGAAAGGGTTGCGAACAAGCTTTAAAATGGATTCTCCTTTAAAGCAGAAAAACATGGGAAACACTGGGTTTTTCCTTGCAGGCTGGCAGAGCTCCAGCCTGCGAGGGGCTGCTTGGGGGCCTGCCCTGCCCCACACACTGGAAGGATGGGGCTTGGGGGTGGGGGGCACTGGGTCAGGACTGGCCAGTGGTGTTTACAAATGGGTCCCGGACAAAAAAGGTGGAGAACTGATGCACTAGATTACTGGTTCTCTGCCTTTTTGTACCAGGACCCATTTGTAAACACCAATGGCCAGTCCTGACCCAATAAATAGTTTAAGTAGAAACTCCCCTCACCCCCAGCCCTGACTTCTGGACAGGGGGTGTGGGGCATTTGGGGGGGGGGGCAAGCAGGGGAGCTCTGCCAGCCTGCAAGGGAAAAAACACAGTGTTTCTCATGTTTTTCTCCTTTTAAAATGGATTATCCTTTAAAATTGTTTGATCCATTTTTAAAGTTCGTTGGTGACCCTTTCATATATTCTTACGACCCACTTTTGGGTCACACGCCACGGGTTGAGAAACACTGCACTAGATGACGTTATGTGATCCCTTCCATCTATGAAAGTGCCTCCACCTTATGGTTTATAACAGCCTGACAAAATAGCATCGTGGCAGGCTCCACTGGTGTGCCCAGAGAGAAATCCCTTAACTACCACGTATACACTGGCATTCAGATGTCTCCCTTGGATCCATTTGTTTTTTGAATGGTTCCACTTTACTGGGTGCCACAGCAACTGGATCCTGTTTCCAGTTAGAACAAGATCTGGGTCTTTCTCTGACTGTTTGTATTCACTGATCTTCCTCAGCACAGTGTCTACTGCTCTTTTTCTCTTGCTTTTCACTTGTCCATTCTTCTAATGCTGCTCAACCCTTGTTCACACTTTTTTTCCCCCCCTAAACGGCGTGTTTATATTAAAGTGCAACTCTGTTTTCAGGGCGTGTGGTGGCTGGCTCATTGTATCATGGTCGTGATACCTGTGGATACAGTGCACCCACCTGTGCAGCTCATAACACAGGTTTGGTTTTGTTTGTTGGTTTCTGTTCCTTGTTTTTTTGCCTTGCCTGGCATGCTAGAAATAGTTGGCATTGGTTGCATGCTCTTGTGGTTGTGGCTTGTATTGGTTGTTGCATAATAACTGTGAGTGTGCATTAGCCAATGCAAACCAGAATAAGAGACCCGTGGAGCTTAGAGGAGACGGGTTTCAAGTTGCAATCGTGTCATCACCAGGAGGTAAGGGGGGTGGGGATAAAAGCATCGGGCAGCTCCGAGGGGAGCCTGCACCTTTCCAGCTTTACTTGCAAGCCGGAGGAGCGGAGGGGAAAGCCTGCGTGTCCCCTCCACCCTTTGGGGAAGCCCCCAGCCAAGGCAGATCCTCGCCACCCCTCCAAAAACCAAGCCAGGCTTGGGCTCCACGCCTCGGGGGAGCGCGTTGCAATGCCACCCTGACCCGGGGATCGCCCCCCTCCTGCCCGCTGGTCCAAGGGAGGAGGAGTGGTGGCAGGAGGGTGGAAGTGGAGGTGGGGGGGGGAAGAGAAAGGCAGCTCGCAGGCCAGGCTGGGAGTTGTAGTCCGGGGGGTGGCGGCTGTGCTGTCCCGCGCCGCCTGCAAAGACTACCTTGCCCACATGGCCTCGCGCCCGGGCGCATGAGCTCTCCACCGCTTTAGCGCATCTATTATGCTGCCTTGCCGAGGCTAAAAAGAAGAGCAACTGGAGGGGACTATCGGGCAAACGTTGCTGGAGCCGCCGGGGCAAAGTAATCTATTTAATCTTACCCTTTCTTTGTTAAGCGCGTTGCGAGCAGCGGGCCATGCTTTGCTTTTCTTAATTATTATTATTATTTTTTTTTTTTTAATGCAAGCCAGCACAGGGACTCCCCTTGCTTCCGCAGCCTTTGTGCATGGCAACAATGTAACAAAGCCAGCTGGAGGGCTCCGGCTCCGGCTCCAGGGCGGCCGCTGCTTCTCTCCTCCTCCTTCCCCTTTTCCCCTGCCCAGGCGGCAGCTCCGGGGGATGTTTGCACTGAGCTCTGCCTCTTTTATTGCCTCCCCCGCTTTTCTTTCTTTCTTTCTTTTTTTTTTTTTTTCCCACCCACCTACCTCTCTCCCCTCCCAGCTCCGCGAGAGGCACAGGCTGGAGTTTGTGCAGCGCAGCCCATCTCCCTTACGGAAGGGATTTTTTTTCCCCTCTCTCTCTCTCTCTCTCTCTCTCTCTGCCCGCCATCTTTTAAAGGGGAAAATTATGGGGCAGACGAGGGCTGCGGGCTTGCTTTAAAAACACAAAACAACCCCTCTTATCAAGCCATTGAGAGGCAGGAGCCCGGATCCGAGATTGTCGGTGCCAGGCCGCTGCAAAGCGAGGCTAGTCAATTGCAACCCCCTCCCCCTCGTCAGTTGCACAAGGGCTTGTGCATTGCACACCCCCCCTGATCAATTGCACCGAGCACCCCTGCTCGGGGGTGTCGTGTGGCCGAGACGGGGCACTAACCCGGCGGGGGGTGGAAATGTTTTGCTGGCTGCAGCTTTGCCCGATGGCTTGGTTTGCTCCCCAGCCCGGAGAGATAGGGAAGCAGGTGGCACCCCTGGCAGCATGTGTTGTTTGCAGGGTAGCTGTCAAGGTGTGTTTGTGTGTGTGTGTGCAATTGGTGCAAGCCGGGACGTGTGCCTGGAGTGACCTGGGAGCAAAAGGAGCGTGCGGGTTTCCTTGAGATGTGGGAGCTGGTGTCCTGTCCTGGCGCGCTCCTCGCTATCGGACTGTTTGTTTACATTTTGCACCTGAACTTGGGCAGTGGGGACTGGGCCATTGCCTGGAGTGGAGCCGCTTTCACTTTTCAGCCTTTCCCCCCTGTGCTGCCGTGTCTGGGTCGCCTGCATCACTGTGGGAGCGGATGAAAGCCGTAAGGATCCTAAGCCGACCTCATGTGGTCCAGCCCCCTGCCCAAGGCAAGGCCATTACTCACCAGACCATCCCGGCCAAGTGTCTTCTAACTTGCCCTTGAAAATTTCCAAGGATGGAGATTTGCTCCTTTCTCCAGGCAGCTTCTTCCAAGGCTTGACCACTCTCAGAGCAGAGCGTCTCCCATCTCCATTCCCCCTGCCACAGCTTGAGACCATTGCTCCTAGTCCTGCCCCCCACAGCCACAGAAAAAATCCCACTCCCATCCTCTCTGTAATCACCCTTCAGGTATCTGAAGACTAATATAATAGTCGTCTCATCTCCAGACTTAACTAACTCTGAAAGCCCGTGCAGAATGGGACCGGGTTGTATGGGAAATGTAGGAAGTTCCTTAGAGAAAAATACCCACGGCAAAGCAGGAAACACTTTCCCTTCCATGGTTTGTTTTTGTTTTTTTCCTGTAGCATGGATGTACTTCTTGTTACTATCTAGAGGGATCAAAGCTAAACAGCATCTTTTTAATTTAGATCAGGAGTGAAATATCACATGAGCTGTATGCATGTATTTATGTATCTTTTTTTTTTTTAACCCCAAATCTGTTTCCAGTTTAAGCTACTTGACATTATGTAATAGTAGGTTAGGGGAAAGCACAATAGCCACACACACCTGCTGTCCCCTGCTGGGGGAAGAGAAGTTGTTTTTTTGACAAGCTAGTTAGTATTTTTATTGCCTTCCAGGTTATGTGAGTGGCGCTAAGGAACTGTCCGTACATTCAACTGGAAATTTTAGATTTGAGGCTGACAAGGTTGTTTGGGTAGATGTGCTGTCTTTTTTTCCAGCTATTCAGTTGGTCTAATAAATTGGTTTCTGCAAGCTTTTGGGCATAAAAGTCCTTCTTCAGACATAGGGAGAGTTTTGAGTTTAGAGCTGTGACTGTCCTGAATTCACCCTGGGATAAGGCAAGGTCTCAGAGAGGCCTTGGGTTGCCTGTAATATGTGCTGCATTCTTTGAGGGGGAGAGAAGAGCACAGAATAAACTTGTGTGCTTCAAGCTACATATCAGCTCGGTGAGTTTACAAGCAATACAAGTAGTGTATTGCTTTAAATATGGCACTTTAAGGAAAGCTGAATTTATTGCAAACGCTGCGTGTTCTCTTCATCTGCACATGGTAGGGTTAGTAGACTAGGATCGCTCCGAAGGGTCCCATATTTCATATTTTGTTAGCTCAGGAGTTTGAAAGAATGTACATAAAGGCCCCTGCTGAAATGTGTAGCTTCCTGCCCAGAAGCTTTCTTTTTTACAGCTCGCAATCTTGCCAGTGACTAAGACTAACTCCTGAGATGCTTTTCCTCTTTTCCTTTCTTGCTTCAGTTAAAAATACACGTGTTTGATGCTTTCAAATTGTTTGCTTAAAAAAAAAAAAAAAAAAAAAAAAGGAGTAGGGGGCTTGGGTGGAGGATTACTGTTGTTCTTTATGGCACAAGAAGTCTGACCAGGATGCTGCCTTTTACACTGTCCGTAAAGAAAGTGGTGCACAGGCAGTGACTACTCATACAGAAGGGCCTGTCAGACATGGTTGCTGCTAAAATTTAAAAAGAAAAAATGCTTATGTGGTTTAGGAGCCTGAGTCTTATTTTCAGAAGAGACTTCAGCATGTGGGAGTCTGAGTCCTACTGAGTTCCAGTAAGATTTAGGCTCAAAGGAAACAAGTCACTTATGAAAATAGGACTCCTGCCTTACATGGAGGCTTTTGAAAATGTTACTCACAGCTAGGTTTTTGGGTTGGTTTTTTTTTTTTTTTTTTAACAGCAGCTCAGATAGTTCGTGCTTTTTCTTTCTTCTCATGTGGCATGACTTTAGTTCATGATGTTGGCAGCAATAGTCTTTCACATTTTATTTTGAAGCAGAGCTGGTTTTGCGGGAGTGTCTGCAAATGAAACCCCTTGGAAACCACAGCTATAACTTAACGGCTGGATGAAGTTAAGGACGTTTTCTAATAATAATGCAAAGTTCCATATCTCCTGGGTAAAAACCTTCATGTTCCAAAGCTTTGTCCAGTCTAGCTCCTGAGACTATAATAGAGCTTCCTACCTAAAAAGTCTGAAGTGTCACCCCATCTCCTGCCATTTGTTCATTGTGGACAGAGCCCCCGTCCCCATTAAGACCCATTGTCTTAGCCATGATCCCTATGTGTAGAGAGGCAGGATTGGGGTCTGCATTAACACTCGGGTATACATCTTCCTTACAGGTGCGGCAAGAAGATGCATATAACTTCTGCATTGTGCACCAGGGTCCCAACAGGCTCTCACTGTGGTCTGAGTCTTGCTCACTATAACTTGGTTGATGTGCAAGTCCCAGTTGGTTGCACTGACGGCAGGCGTGTGCCAGTAATCTCACTCCACAGCAGTAGCTGAGACATGTTGTGAGGGCTCACGTTTGGAAGACTTAGTTACTTTTACCAAATATGTGACTTCAGCTCTTCTTTGGTAAACTTCCAAGCACTATAAATTCAGACTAATCTACACTTATCAAAATAAATGAACAGCGAACACTTGGCGTCTCAGCATCCTTGATTGCCGTTCTTTAATCCTGGTGCTTTTCTTCATTGCTAATTTGCAAAATTCATTAATCCACAGCAGGTCTCCTAGCCATTACCACGAGCCGTATGCTTAAAAAAAAAAAAAAGAGGGAAAATACCACATTATTGTACAGTAATAGCCCAGAACACTACTGTAAGCACTAGGCTTCTGGGATTTACCAAGGAACCATTGTTTGCCGTGCTGTTCAGTGAGCTTTATACACGTCCTTCCAAAATGTCCTGTCTCGGGCTTTTAGTTCTGTTGCATTTTACTGTGATGTTAGCTTTTTGTTATTCATTAGCGCTTGCCAGAGGTCAGCCTTTCTGTGCAACACTAACCATGCAATATTAGTGAGAAAATACCTTTTACATGGTTTGCATTGCTTGTTCAGAGAGAAGGATTTAAGAACAAATTCCCGTGAAAAGTGATGTGGAAATTCCTAGGAACGTACCGGTAAAGCTGGCCAGCGCATCTGCTTCTTTATATCTTTCTCTGGGATGCGAGTGTTATGATGGATAAGACAGAGACTGAAGAAATGCTTGCATCTATTTTTGAGACCCTTTACTATCTTGCCGGGACCGGGGGCTCTTTCGAGCTTCTTCTTTTGTTCAGCCAAATAAGCAGGCGTTGTAACACTTAGAGACATTTCAGCAGCAACCTCTAAAAGAAGTGACTTGTGTGCATTTTTTCCTTCATCAGGACTGGAAGTCGGCTTTTTTCTCCCCCGGTATAGGTATAGCTGATGCTGTTTTGCATGTGGTTTCACTGAGTTTTGACACGGGCCAAGTGAAGTGTTTGAG